AAGCTTCGAATACTCACTTAGGCACTTCAGCATCCAGCTGAGAGCCGTTACATCTCAGTACTTATTGGTGTTGCATTCTGTCAACGAAAAGTCGACGACTTTACAGTCGTTTATTACCCGATGAAACTGGAAAATACGTTGTGTGCTAACACTGACAGATAAGGAAGATGGGGTACAAATAGCATGTTAAGCACGGTGCAAAACGATAGGCAATTCACGCGATGATCAATCTTTACTTCGACAGGTTGTCTAAGACAACCTCGCGAGGAAATCTTGAGTCTGGGTGACGCTGCAGCCGTACCTTATTACACACTGCATGGAACACTGGGTGGACCAAGGTAGAAGGCAGCATTAACGGGCCTTCTCAAGGGCTAGTTGGAACCCTTAGTGTTCGGGTTGTGAACTGAGTGTAACGATCCCATCATGGTGTACAGCCGCCAATCGTCGCGGCTGATCATGGGCGATAAATGGCCAAATCACTTGCCCGAAATATACGCATGCTCAGTGTACGACGCACACTATGCGTACACACTCGAAGATGATATAGAATAGCTTACTTTTTGGCTTTATTTTTTCTTGCTTGGAGAATTGCGCTATAGAGGTTTGGATAGTGTGTATTTCCGACAACCGCGAGGCGAGTCGTAACGATTGTACAACTCAAGTACGTAGACTCTACGGTAGCATGTTCTGTTTCATCTCGGAGGGGTGTATATCTCGGACCGGCAACCCTCAATATTCTTGACCTCCCTGATGTTGTGGGTTATGCGGTCTGACGGTTGGACTTTGACTAGGGACCGCATGCGGAGCTTGATCCACTCATCAAGCACATGATCCTGATGACTCGTTGACCTTGATGCCGAAGCCAAATCTATTGCGATCCGAGACGCGTGAATTAGATCAGTGATTCTTGATGTTGATCCGTGATCTCTGACCCTGATCATGATCGACCCTTGACTGTTGATCATGATTCCTGACCTGCGATATGCATCCCATGTGAGCCTCGTTTCTGATCCTGACCCATGATTCTCAAGAAAAAACTTGATCCGTGATCCGGAGATCAAAGAGTTGAGAAATTATCAGACGTCTTGAGAATAGCAATGATCCAATCATTGCTATGTCACTTACCTTCAAATTGATTTCTTCGGCCCGATCGCGAGATACTCGTCTTGTGTGCTGTGACGATTAACAACGGTCCACGAGATGCACAATCAACTGAACAAACCTCAAAGCCAAAATGAGTATATCAACTGCTCATTCAGGCCGACCCACCTCATCTACGGTAGTGACTTCGAGCTTCGGAGTAGAACTCAGGCAAGCCACCACTGGACGTGAATTTGTTGGTCCGATATACTTAGTAAAAGCAGCAGCAAGTCACCCGGTGACTTGTTCTCCGGTGACAGTCACCAGACATGAGACGATGAAAATGCAGCTCATCTGGGAGGTAACTTTTTCATTACTGCAACAGTGCGGCATTTTGAATAGATGGGACACTGTTAAAATATCCGAAAGCCACTTCAACCCGTCTCGAAATAACTGTGTGGAAATCGTTGGTACTATTGACAAGTCACAGTGATACTGTTCATCAAGCAAGTTGCTTCGCCATCTTAGAACACATAGCTTCCATATGAGCCTGCAGAAGTTTCATTCAAACTCACACTACGTAGGCAAGACGTACTTGACTGAGCTTATGGCTGCCTGACAATATCCTACTTACCATCACAGCAACGTTCGGAGCAGCAGCTGATATCCAACAGCGGCCATTCAAACCAATGGCAGATTCGAAGACCTGCGGCACACATGTGAGCAGAGGAGCAATCATACAGTGCTACAAAATGTCGCCCGAGACTGGCCATAACAGTAGAACCAGTAGCCTGTAGTGATTTCGCCTGCCACAAAGGAACCGTCGCCTGTAATCCACAGCAACCATCGACAGGAGCGAGGTGCCCAAAGTATCTGACGATTCGGCCTTCTAACGGTTTTCCTATTACGATCTACTACACGTCCTTGTGTGTCCAGTCTCTAGTTGTGCTGGGATCAACGCAGCTCAGCTCCACGTCCAAGTCCCGATCAGCTACAGTGACATGACAGTACACGAGATCGCCCGGACTAAGATTCGGCTTGTGACGTTTGGTGGCACTGAAAGTAATGATCAACAATGATTTCAATGCTTCGCCGTCACTACCCGTTGAATGCCAGAGTCGGTAGGTTGGCAGTTCCCGTCGGGCCATTGATGTCAACTCTGTAGAATTCGGCAGTACGCTGCACTACCACACCGAGCACCATGTCACCTCTTCTCGGAATGTACTGATCACACACAGAGATCAGACACGACCATCGCCTACCACATTAACCTACTCGTTTTCGCGTATTGTCAAAACATGGGATATCTGATACCGCGGACTCCACTGAGAGCAAACCTGAAAAATTACCGAGGCTTTCCAAACTAATGGGGTTCCTCCTTAGAGAATATTATTACCAGCCACAGCAGCTTTCGGACAGTCCTCATCCAGTCTTATCCCGAACCCGACCGAATTGGGATCACAGCTTGACACCACACCAGCCTCTATCGGTACCGTGTCCCCCGGCAAATAAACATGCACTGAGGACGCCGATGACCTGTTCTCGGAAGCAGCCGCCATTCAAGCCAACTGAACAGTCGTTATCCACAATACGTTTCCGAGTGACCTTCAGTCGCCCTAAATATCAATTCGTCGGCCCCTGAGACATTCTCCAGGGACAGTTTAGTATATATACGCATATAATACTATCTTTCTATATAGATATAGTATACTCCATTTATATGCAACATTGAATAATCGTATATCATTGGAGTTTCACCTGTTTTACGCGAAGTGGCGTTAAACTCGGTAAAAAACGCGAAATTCGCGGTTTGCAGTAGTCGTGAAATAGGTTCCATGGGTGAAACTCCATTATAGATTTTATCCCTGAACATACCACAATTCACTATAATATTCATGCATCCATATATCTACAATGTAATTCTAATTATACATATTTTTCAACTACTCATACTATATATTCATGTTATACATGTTTCCTGCTCTACCACTACTAACACGATGACCACGTAAGTCTCGGAGAAACTGTATGATTCTTCTTAACAACAGTAACAGAGGATACTGAGAACTGCCTTATGAACTCTATCGCGGGTCTCATCGTCATCCAAGACGTGCCTCAATCTCCTTGATCTCTTCCATGAGGTTCCCCTCATTGGCAATCTTACTCATCTGTGCCTCATTCAGGGAATCAGCTGACACGCGAGACCATTACAGTAGCAACTAGCAGCACAAGATGGAGAGCCTTACAAGGAAGAGCCTTCAATGCCGTCACCTCCTTCAGCTTCTTACGCAAGTTACGGAGCCGCTTATCATCGGTTGTATCTAAACAAGGTATGCTGATGATGAACACTACAGGACAAACCATCCGAGCACTATCATGTACCCCTCTACCCGAGCGAAGGTTAGACCGATACACACTAGTAGTTATGGAAAGAAAAATAGATGCCCCCAAGACCACCCGTTTTCGCAGGCCGTTTCTCGACGATATTTGCTCTACACCGGGGCGTCATAATAATCATCCATGAAGTGTAACAAAGAGTTGGTCAGTCACACTCACTAGTGACGATCCTCACTGTACAGATCTGCCATCTGCTGCAAATTTAATCATAAAATATATAATTCACATATTTATAAATTGAACTATAGCCTACTTCATAACGGTAATAAACATACCACAATTCTTACAAACAATCTAAGGTTATTTGGAACTCCGTAAAATACCCGAAACCATCACTTCCAGGCGCGCAGTCCCCCCTACGTTGTTTTCCCTCATCCGAATGAGCCTCCTCTTCAACAGCTTTCGCCTTCTTCTCCTCCTCTTCTTCCTTCTCACGTTGCTCCTCCTCTTCCTTTTCCTTCGCCGCCGCCTTAGCAGCAGCACGATTAGCACGCTTACGGGCATTACGAGCAGCCGTGGACGAGTTAGCGCCTCCCTTCGCTGAAAAAATGAAGTCCTGGGAATTCAACTCATCGAGACCTTCCTCATTACCGTTCATCTGCGGCAACGGTACTGTCATTCCAGGAGGCAACCTCTGTGGCAGATTGTTCATCAACTCTTGCAAATTAGCCGGGGCTCCAACGGCCCTCGCTGGAGGACGATACTCTACCTGATAACAAAGGCAGTCAACAAGCACATCTCTTAAGAGGCACTTACCTTAACATCAGTCTTCTCGATCGCGTGACGCTCAGCCCGCAGAGCTGCAGCGAATGCTCCGCCACTTGGAGGCTTATAAGCTGCCTTAGCCTTGGCAACTGACAAGGGATAATATCACTACCACAAATCGGCAACATTCGGAGCTGTTCCGTATCATGCACGCTCAACCTCAAGATTCCCAATCTCACCAGGTTCCTTAGCGGCCTTCTTTGCTGCCGTCGTGGCCGCCTTCACAACACGTGGTGAGGGCGCTAGATCCTCGAACAGAGACCTTCAAAGATACCCCACCCTACGCACAGCGAAGATTCCTCCCCATCCTACGAGTCCATAGGCCTCCAGCCAGCATAGTAGAGCTCATCAAAGGGAATTTCCAACGTTTGCTTTCCATCATAGTTGTGAAGCTTGATGTGGTTATCAACCCTAACAACAACAAATACTAACAACTACAGCAAAAAAACAACAGCCACGATGTGACTCATCCGGGCCTATTCCGTATCTTTCAAAGTGCAGCCTCGGATATGCCCTACTACCGCATTCTGGGAGCAATTGATGCCGTTAGAAGAGTACGTCCATCAGCCCCCCAATCCGATAAAACCGTGCAGGGAAGGCTCATAATGGCCAGCTTGATATGCCTGACAAAAGGCGGCAAAAACTCCACATCATCATTTCCTGCTTAATATAGGATCTCTTCAAGAGTCAGTGATCAGCAATATCAAAAAACCACATACCAACAACAGAGAAAATCACAATCCTAACCATTCTCCGTTTAGTCAGACGAATTCCCGTCCCATGCAGTCCTCCTCGAAGGGCCCCAGGTAGCATCATGCCTTGGGACTAAGCATCTACGTACTTCTCCTTATCCCACACATCAGCCTCGCCAGGGAGATTGCCAAAGCCGCCCGAGAGGAAGTACCGCCCGTTAGGCGACCACAGCAGAGTATTACGCCGACTACGACCAAAGGTAACCTTCGATACACCTAACACGCCGCTATGGTCAAACGCGCACGCCCGAGAACAGACACACTACCTCTGACACCCTCATTGAGTGAAAGCGTGGGGGGCATGTCCCCAACTAGAGCAATGAACTCATTAGTATTGGGAGACCACGCCGACGCTTGTGCCTGAGTATCTTTGGATATCCTTCACAGTGCGTGCTGCTCTTACTGGTTCGTTGTTGGTGCAGAGACTGAGATCGTTCTGACCAGCTTGACCCATAGGGGAGGGGTGAAGGAAATACAACCTATCGTGACCAACCCCATGAGCATATCCATTCACGTGATGATACTACGAACCCAGTGCTTCCATAGTAGTTCTGACTGAGCCCCCTGCCAGACTCCTGATGCACCGTCATGAGCAGAGACGAACCTGTTGAAGCGATACACTCCCAGCATGCCACCATCACACTCACCTTCCCTGTTCCACTCCATATTGCAAGTCTGACAGTTAAAGAAGGATTTCTGACCCAGCAACTTAGTATCAGCAGTCGTAATACTGTAGACCTGTAGGCACCAAATAGGGAGGAGGAAGAGGAGGCCTTTGTTGGTGTTACTTTGACCATGCCAGGCTGGCCCTTATTCTCGCCAACAAAGCATGCCACTGTCTTGCAGTCTGGAGAGAGCTCGAATGAGGCAACATTTGGTAGTCGTAGTTTGAACCTGCAACCGCCTTATTATCTTCCTCCCTACTCCTTACAGTAGCCTCACAGGGTAGCCTCTTTGGTGAGTTGAGGCCTCCGACCAGACAAGAAATGGAGCTCGTTGGTCACCATACGAACGCATACACGTTCATCCTTAGTCCACTTGAAGCAAGGCCACATACCTATCAACGCCACTTCCTGTGGGTGAGTGATGCTCAGCTACCCAATTCGGAAAACTTAGAAAATACACAACTCCTTAGAAAATACACCAACAAGGAGAGGAAGCATATAGGGAATCCATACACCCTGTTATGATACCACTGAAGGAGCTCTCCGTTCCGAGCAGTACGTGGGAGTTCTCCTTTTTACACTATACCCAATATTACGTTGATTGGACTGTTTCAATATGAGACTACATATGATCTCTCCCGTCTCGAGATGCCATAGCTGAGGGGAAGATCTAAAGACCTACTCCTACCCCTAGTCCCAGCTTACATGGACATTCTCCTTCTGAGTCTCAGTGGAGTACCTTTCGTAGGTTACTAGGAAGGTCCCTTTAGGAGAGAAGTAGAAGTTACGAATGAAACTCTCCTGTTGTTGGCAGGTTAGGATCTAATACAGCTACATAACGGCTACTACTACTACTACTACTACTACTACTACTACTACTACTACCTTGGTGTACCCCTTGGTACAGTCGTAAACGTCAACGTCACCTTTTTGGGTGAGAACACCGCACATTAAGCCGTCCGGACCTGATATGTTATCCCCACGCGCTAGATCCATCTAAGCCTTACTGTAAGTGAAGCCATCAGGGCTCCTAGCGCCTGTCGGGAGTTCGTATTTGGGCTTAGACGGGTCACTACTGGCAGTAGAGTAGATCTCAACACCTTTACTCGAGATGGCCACGAACTCCATTATTGAACAACGAGTAACCTAGAAGCACTCTGCTCTAGCCGCTCTAAAGGAACCTCTCGAGAGCAGCTGTCAGAATATTCCATATCGTTAGAAGCAGCCCTGAGGTATATCGTAGAGGCATATTTCGGCGAAGATACAGACCCCCGCCAGTGAAGGGTCATTCCCCCGCAGTGTGTTTCCCTTGTTCGTAATATGGGCCCCACTTCCCCTCCAAGAGCTAAGTCAGTGAAGCCGTGTAAAAAATGCAGGAAAAATGACGTCACCGGGGATCGAACCTACGATCAGATATGCTCACCAGCCACCACGTTTCCATTTCTTCAGGAGATGTCTTCAGATCAGCAGCATGGTTTCTACACCGCTCGCCGGAATGGACAACAGGTGGACTTAGCTCTCGAGAAGCGCCTGATGGTGGTCCTAGTACAGTCACGATGCCACTACATTGACCATGATGAAGTGCCTGATGCCGTGTATAGGGACATCCTACTGCGGACAGGCTACTGCACTGGAATACAGGCAGACGCTTTGGTACGGCATAGACCTCAATCGTCCTTTACGGGTCCTCCTTCAGATAAGCAAACTACCAGTTGTACTCTTCCACCTCTTCCCTAGTGGTGAGATCTCCCAACACCCCGTCAACGACGTGGCAAGGGCGGTCTGTCAGGTCTATCAAGGGGAGGCCAGGGAATACAACGAAGTGAATAGGGAAGTGCTACGGTTCTCCCCACCTGTGTGCTCTCAGGCAGCAGCAGCAGCAGCGTCGTCGTCTTCCTCGTCTTCGCAGTACTACAAGCCTCCACACGAAGCGGTGTCCCCCGATAGACCCGAGGCGGACTTCCAACGAGACTCCTCCCCTGAATGGTCGGGAAGGTCAACAGGCGTGGTCCCCCAGGCCTCTGCTGACCTTAGGGTCTCTCGTACTAGGCAGACCTACTACCCGGACCATGCCCAGTCCTCTGTCGAATACAATAAGCCGTTAACCCAACATCAACCTCACGATAGTAGCCATCGCCCTATCATCTCGGGGAGCAAAATGACCGCTGAGGAAATTGGAATGGAAGTTGCGAAGGCCCTGTCGGTTGGCCAACGAGTCTTTCGAGTGAAGGTTGAATCGAAAGTAGTCCACGACCATGCCCACGTTATGACGCCCGGCGACTACTTCGTGGAGGCGCCTCTTCCTGACGGGCAGTCCTCCAGGAGGGGGATGTGGTCCTGGGGGTTCAAGATTGGTGATAGTAGGACGCGGAAGTGGTTCCTCAACGATGCCTCGACGGTGGAGGAAATAATTTGATTACGATGGTCACTCGGTGAGAGCTCAGAGGACGAGTTTCATTTTGACGTGTTGGTTCGGTAGTTGTCAATACGATGCGCGCGAGTTACGGTAGGGCCATGGCGAAATTCGGGCCCGCACAGGCTTGTCTGTTATGTTCACAACAACAGCCATCCCTGCGCCCTTGTCGAGGGAGCTGGAGATCCGCCTTATGGTCTTTATAGTGCAGGTTTTAGGAAAGGCCCCTGACGCCACTCACGAGGAGTTGAAGGACGTGCTCATGCGTACAGGGTATTGTACGGGCATCCAGGCCAAGCTGCTGGTAGTCTATAGTACTACGTAGGAGTACCCACCAGGGCTCCTCATTCAGTTGGAGAAGTTGCCGGTCATTTTGGTGTACCTCTTTGATGGGGACGAGGTCACTGAGTATTCCATCTCCGATGTAGCGGCCGCTGTGTGCCAAATCTATGAACAAGAGGATGAGTTTCGACAGGTAGGGTGGCTGTCAGTGTGGTAGAGTATGCGCATCATCAGCCATATGTGTTGGTGACAATATGGAAAATTCTGAGGAAATTTTGGGAGGTTATTTTTGATTCCTGCACATTTTTAACCGGAATCATATAGTGATTTCTGGAAAATCCTGAGCATTGCTGAGGAAAGCGAACATATATATTCTGACAACGAGCACTGTTCTGGCTCAGGAGGTTGCTGAGCAAGTGGATGAGCCCAAGAAGGGCCCATGCCCCTATCCTACATCTGAGTACGGCTTTGATCTTCACTATCACCAGCAGGGCAGTGTTGAGGTGTGGAGGCGTCGTACGGTGGTTGTGATAGCCATCTTATAGGTACATGATTCACCACGGCCGACGAGGTCTAGGCCCTCACAGCTCAGCTTGCCACTAGCTTTACGATGCATACCAGAACCGTTAGTTGGTGACCAGCTGGCGCTCGTTGATGATGTTGATGAGGAGGATCGACCAAGGGCACCAATAGCATGTCGGGCAGCCTCACCGGAGCGGTCAGTACCCAGGCCTTGGCAGGATATGGGAAGTGGCGGAGGAGTGGTATCATTGGTGACACATGAGACGCCACCAGAGTCCACGACTAGGACCGGCCCTAGTGGGGCCCATAGGGGGTACGTCCCGGTGCCGACGGGGCGTCTTGATGCTACTTCAGAGAAGCTATGGGAGAGCTGCTGTTGTGATGCCAGGATGCTTTCTATGGGAAAGGAGGCGTTTGAGATTGCAATCGCCTTGGCCCTATCGAAAGGCTATCGACTATTCCGGGCTAAACGTGATGAACCAGCACGGGAGGAATATTCAGCTAGGCAGCACGGGCTGAGGAAGGGCATGCTCTTGGTGCTGACCAAGGCGGACAACATATGGGCTTGGGGGTATGCCTTGGACGATCCCAAGTGCCTCAAGTACTTCCCTGTGGACGGCCACCGAGTTGACGAGATTTGCATGGGCTGATCGACGTCATCACTATAGACTTGTTTTTCGACTGTTACTTGTCGCGTTGTGAGCCCCCCCTATAGATCGTTCTCCAGTGATAGTAATGTCAACGGCGGCCTCACTGGGGAGTAGTAGGGTAGGAGTGGCTCTATGTGGGGAGGACGATGTGAGTTGTGTCCTCTGTCTATGATGATCTTGAGTCTGGCAGGTGGCTGACTGTGTAGTGGAGTTAGGATTGCTGATGATACCTTATTACATGTTCCTAGTCATGGTGCCCCTGAGGATACATGAGGTAGCAGGGCGGAGGCGGCGGCGGAGCGAAGCAGTTGGTTTGTAGTTATATTCCTGCGCTCGATCTCTACCACCTAGGAGATGGCCGTTCACGAACCTTGTCAAGAGGGTGAGGGCATGAGGGCTGTTTAACAGTGTTGGAGTTTATGTTCGCTTTCTTCAGCTGGGATTGGGAATAGAAATGTACAGAAGTCAACAAAAATCTCCCCAAATTTCCTGTGCACATGTGGTTGACCATGTGCATATGTTTCCACACTGGTTTTTAATTGCGGTCGGCAGCTTTTTATAGCAGTACTGGAAAATATGTTTGCTGTTCTCAGCTGAGCTCAGGAGTGTCCGCGTTGATTATAGGAGTTTGTGTATGAATTCGTGTATAAGAATTTCCCAAAATTTTCTCAGAATTTTCATATTGTCACCGACACATGTAGTTGACCATGTTGTGTATATCTGTTCCACAGTGCTTCATAGAGTTGATTTCATTGCTGTGGGTTTGCTTGTCCAATAGGATGTAAATTCTAAAACCGGGTTATTCCCATGTGTCAGGTCTGTTGTGCATCCTTGGCGGTTGCTAATGTTGGCATCGCTACTGCCGCTGTAGTGTTCTATGATAGGATCTATGGATCATGCTACGTTGTGCTCACGTACGAGACCCTTGTCAGCTTTGTGGTAGTCTTAGTTCAGTCCTGTCATTCACTCTGTCTGTTGGCTTCTTGCTCTCCTACTGCTACACATGGAATATCGCCGGTGAGGCCGTTGGTGTCACTCAAGGAGTTTCAGTGTTGGTGGACAGGTACCTGCCTCAGTCTTGGTCGAGTTTACGGTCCTTTTGGTTCCTCACGGGTATTACAAGCTCCGCCCGAGTGGTATGGCTCTTCGTGTCATCACTCGAGAAGACTCCAATGTGGTATCGGAGGGCAGCCAGTTGCTGAGTTGAAGGCAGGTACCTGTTACTGTATCCCTACGAGACGGTAGTGATGTCGATACTATTGGCAGCAGCACAGTTGTTGTTAATGTGGATGAGTGTGGCCATACCCAGCGACTTGTCTTTGGCGTTGTTCCCTTACATACAGAGGCTTATGCAGGTAGCCCAGAACTAGGGTTGGGCTTCTCGGGAAACCAACAGCAGCAGTGGGACGGTTGGGGAATAGACCAGTGAAAGAGTCGAGTAGTGTTTCCATGAGCATCAAAACCTGCGATATATTGGCTCGGCCGCCATGCCGCTACTCCTGGGAGTCGCGTCGTTCATGTGAATGACACAAAAATTACTTTGTTGTTATGGTCGAGAACTTCCCTACTTGGCAGCCGATGGGGGACATCAATACTGTTTAGGCTGGTCAGCTGTATCCGTCTTCGGGTTCCCAGGCGATGATAGAGCACACTATAGACTCGTAAGCACTGTGAAAGGCTAGAGCCGTGGTAATTGCTGTGTTAGGGGATACTCGCCGCCTAGTATTGGCTCTCCTTCGGCTCCTCTGCCTGCATTCCGTCCTTGCCTGAAATTGTTGGACGTTCAAGTGGTGGCCAAGATAGGCCCAACAGGACAGGCCCTCACTGAATACAAGTAAGACTTTGAAGTTGGTTTCGAAGTAGATTTAATCTCGCATTGGAGAAATACTCGCAAGTTTCTCTTGTTGGTAGGGGGGCATAGTCATAGTAAGCCTTGTTCGAGGTTATTCACTCGAGTATACCCTCAAGCAGGAGAAGCCTTTCAGATCACTGTCAAGCGCCGTTTCAAGGTTCTCAAGTGGTTGGATGATCGACTGAGGTGAGGGTGCCGCAGTTGAGGGAGCATCAGCTCACGTCAACGTCAGAGTCCTATTCGACCACGATCGTTTTCCTGAGTTCCATGCGAAGATGGGCAGCTTCCCCCCAAGGGAGGTGGTGGAGGCAAACCCATTCACCCGTCAAGTTGGCTTTAGGGAGTACGTTGTTGGTCGCTTCAGCCGCTTATGAGTTGAAGTTTGTTGTTAGGTATTTCCGGACGCTGTACACGAGTCAGATGTTCATGGTACCGGAGCTTCTCGATATCGTAGGTTGAGAGTGGCTCGGGACACTTTTGGGTATTCTGTCGAATAGCATTACTGACTAATGGTCAACAGCAACGAGTTCGTAGCAACTTGAACAATCACAGATGAATACGAATAGTAGTGAACTGCTGCTAAGTGTTATTGAAACTCGCACGTGCGAGCGTCGAACCAGCAATAGTCTGTAGTGATCCCCACTCGGGGATGGTATAATCTGCCATGATTCGATCGGGCAGGGTCTTTATGCCTTTCTGCAGTTTTGAGCTGTCCCAGGTTGGTCTTAATCCTATGAAGGGGAGTAAGCAGTTGAGTGCATTCATGTCCTTGAGCGCTAGTCAGCTACGAATGGAGGAGAAGGCGAGGATGTCTATGCGTGGCCGAGGCAGGTATCATACCGTAATTCGTTCATATGGGGGAATATACACTTTTAATGGGGTGCTGTCATTGCCTTTGCTTATTCAGCGTCAGCTTGGATCTCCCGACTGGGGGCGAGCAAAGATTTGCCAGCTCGGCTGCGTCGTCATCTAACCGGTTAGAAGCTCGTGGATCTCCATTGAGTAAGGCTCAGGCCCATCTGTGACTCGTGATGACCTTCCTTGGTCAAGCTGGGGTACTCGAGAGCCGTCATAGATACGTCCAATTCGTACGGCCTGCAAGGGCCATTATCTCTACCAGGAGTAGAGGAAGGATCGACGTCCTTCCTTGGTGTGGTGACCAAGGTCACGGGGTATGTGGCGGTACCTCCAGGGCGTGGACCAAGGAGTTCATTGCGGCGAACGCGTAGCGAGCTGAAACAAGCAACTGGAGGTGCCTCGGTCGCCCGTAGTTTGAGCTGGGAATAGAATTCTCAGATGGTCTTTTCAGAAATGCCACCGTCGTCGATTATCTACTTTGACATTTCGACGCAAATTCCTACCAGCGAAATAGTCTACTTTTCTTCTCATCGTTACAGCGAGTTTGAGACGCTCGCACTGCGGTTGAGGTACGCGGATGGTGACGCCGTCTGAGTGCGACCTAGTCGGCGGTATCGGCTTCATTGTGTGGCAGCGGGATAGAATTTACTGCCTGAAAACCTGCACGGCTCGAGCATGCATTTTCCGCCCGCCACGAAATTAATGTTACTGAGGCATATCTTGCCTGATGGTGGCATATCCGCCCCACGAAATTGATCTTACTGAGGCATATCTTGCCTGATGGTGGCATATCCGCCCCACGAAATTGATCTTACTGAGGCATATCTTGCCTGATGGTGGCATATCCGCCCCACGAAATTGATCTTACTGAGGCATATCTTGCCTGATGGTGGCATATCTGCCCCACGAAATTGATCTTACTGAGGCATATCTTGCCTGATGGTGGCATATCTGCCCCACGAAATTGATCTTACTGAGGCATATCTTGCCTGATGGTGGCATATCCGCCCCACGAAATTGATCTTACTGAGGCATATCTTGCCTGATGGTGGCATATCCGCCCCACGAAATTGATCTTACTGAGGCATATCTTGAAATGGTGGCATATCTGCCCCACGAAATTAGTCTTACTGAGGCATATGTTGAAATGGTGGCATATCCGCCCCACGGAATTGATCTTTCTAAGAGCTAGTAAATTAACTTTTCGGAAAGTGTAGGCTTCTCGTCCCCAGCCCAGTCTTGATGCATCAGGGATTTCCTCCAAGTCCGATTGATGGTCAGTCTACCAGCCAAGATGAGGATGCCAGGCGTCAATAGGGCTGCCTTCCTTGAGCAGTAGGTATACAGTGGTATAAGGGAGGGGACTATTCATACTGTTATAGGCGACGTGAGCAGTTGGAACACTTCCTTCGAGGCCTTCTCACGGATCCTGCTGTCTGCCACTGTTTGCTACTATGGGACTTCCTCAATGTGAGTTTATGGCTTTATGTTCTCCTGGCAGCGCTTTGCTAAGGTGCCTCGAGAGGAGCTGATCCATTTATTGGATCCTCTGTGGGGGAACGGTGCTGCTGAAGCTCTGGGGCCTGGACGGTGAGTCCCGACCGCTGAATGTTTCATAGATTGTCTCAGGCCTATGTCACCGCCAGTGTCACCACGTAGATTCAGCGGCAGTTGGGATCCACGACGGGTGAGGCCGTCTTATCGAGTCAGTTCTAGAGTATTCGGATCTAGCAGGATGAACATATAGTGTTGCATGCTAATTGTACAATACCTGCACGGATCTCCAATAGCAGTCAGTCGCATCAGCACCACCTACGTACTCCACTTCCCGTTCACGTGAAATAAATCGATCAAGTCGATCAGCACAATGTGAATCGATTGAAGAACTTAATGTGATTCGAGCTGATCGACAAATGCTTTACTTAGTCATTGAATGTACTATCTCAGTAATGATTGTCTCCTCCACCTCTCAGGTCAGCAACTATGCGACGCTGCGAGGTAACGCTATGCTTGGCAGGAATTCCTTCGACCGTATGTCCCCGAGTAATTTCAAGTGGATCCAATCCCTTCCGAACCAGTGTTGTGGCAGGCCCATTGACCTCTCTGACATTGCCTCGGGATACCTCCTTGAATGGTCTATTCGGCATGTCAGCACCGCAAAGTATGGGAGTGCTCCCAGAGACCGTGGAGGAGGGCCCAGAGGTAGAGCTGGAGAGTAACCGTCAGAGGACTGCCGAAGTGGTGTTGTACCACTACGACGTTGATTGTCTGCCTGTAGCCCACCCGAAGACTCTTTTTGTTCTCAAGTGAGTCTTGGTGAAAAGTCGGTAGTTGACTTCAACGTTTTTTAGGTTGTTCCGTCCGGCCGATGATAGTCCGTATGGAGAGGAGTGGGTGATCCAGCGGCGGTACTCTGAGTTCAGGGAGCTCCACCAAGTGCTTCAGTCTCATTTCGTCCATGATGCTCGGGCGCGGAAGGTGAGAGGGGTTTCTCTTGGTGGAGAATTCACGATCACACGGGCTTGTGTCCATTGGCGATACGCGCGTTCGATGGAGCCTTCGATTGCTGTTGGATATAGTGACAGTTTGTCAACTAGTATTAAAGTCGTCAGGGACGCATCTCAGCTGGTCATCGACGCACAAGCTGATGGTAGTGTTATTGCAGATGGCCGCAGTTTTGATCGAGATCGAATTTTCTTGGAGAGTCTCATCGGTCTCATTATACTCTCGATAACTACGTTGCTCGAATGAGTGATCGTTGTGCCGGTGATTCTCTATCGGATTGTGCGTCAGATTCTCAACGATCTAGTGTTCCCCACGAAAGTGTTGTCCCACCGAGCTGACCTCGAGAAGGCTCAGAATGAGGAACGGAAAGAGATGCTTGGCCTGTGGATAGCGGTAGCAGCTTCTCCTCAGCCTCGTTAGAGTATTACGACTTAGGGCATCATGTCGTCCATCGACGTTCTTGGGTGCCCCGCGATGGAAGACTTCACCAAGCGAGACGATTCTGCTGCTGCTGGTTTGCAAGGCAGCGCGTTAGCAGCACAGTGATTAGGCGGACTTTGCTCCAATTTACTGCTCTATTGCTATCATTTTTAGTATTATTATAATATCAATTTGACGGAAGCCTATCGAGCTTGCTTCAGAATCGCGGTATGCATTTTCCTCGCAGTGATTGCTGCCCTCTTCCCATGGCTGTCACTATATCGGCAGACTCTGATGATCCTCATATATTATTGGCTGATGCTGTCTGTGTGGAGCTCAAAGACCCGAGTGATTTTGATAGAAAGTTGGAGAACATGTGGGATGTGTAGGGCTTGAGTCTCTCAAGTCGGACTAGCGTGGTGGTGGAGCTAGATATGATACGCTGATCAAGTTGCCGCCGTCCCGTGAGACGGAGCCGTACAAGTATTACTACAAGGGTCGAGAGCTGCTGGATGCAGCGAGTAAGGCTGCTCGTGAGCTCATTGCTGCTAGTGACCGTGTGGAGGTGGAGTGGCATCTGATGGCTATAGACCTGGTGAGTGTATGAACTTGAGTGGAAGCATGGTGAGGAAAGTCAGGCAATGGGGCGCAACTTGTACTGGTGTGAAGAAGTGCAGCGAGCAGAGATCAGATTCATGAGGGCTCTGAAGCTCGGGCTGTTGGCTCCTCAGAGTAGTGATGGATTTAGAGAGGCGTGTCGAATGTGGCAAAGTTAGGAAAGGAGAAAAAGTATATCTTCGCCATCGTCGATTGCCTACAGCAGCTGGGCAATATATGGCTAGAGCGTGGTGACTGGACAAAGGCGATGAACTTCTTAGTGAGAGCAGCTTACATGTAGGAAGGCCGTAGTGGTAAGCATAGATGGATCGCTTCACTGCAGTCACGTAACTGCAGTGGGGGTGAAACGTGGTGATGATGCTCAGTGGGATAACAGTGATTCAGCTACTTTGGAGAAGTTGAAGACTCTTACGGTCTATGGACTGGCGAGAGCATACGGGTATGGTGGGAGATTGTGGAGGGTTGATGGTAGCGTTCTTCATGGGGTCAAGTCGTGTTTTTATGGTATTATTCGGGCAGATTTGGTATTCAGGGGACTAGGGATGGTAGCATCAGCATCACGGGCATGCTCGATGACCCTGTCGAGGCAGCTGGAGCATAATGTGGATCCTTTAGAGGAGGAGAAAGATGCCCCAGTGAGTTGGTCACAGTAGTCGAGTGACTGAGGTGATGCTCCCTAGTTCAACTACCGAGAGTGGGCTAGGAATGCTATCGGTCTGGCGGACTACTACATTGGCCGTGGGGAGTTCTGGACGGCTGAGTATTTGATGCACGCTGCTCGAGTCATCAGTGTGAGCGGGAAAATGGGATTTGGGGAAATCTGCACATCGTCGACAAGAGAAAAATGAAGACTCTGTGTGTGAAATTTCTGGGGAATTTTTGTTGGTTTTTTCATTGGTTTTAAAATGTAAATGATGTAGTGAGGAAACTCCGGAGCTCAGCTTAGGATTTCGGATATATAACACTTCTCTTGGGAGCTACGAATCTGGCGAACTTAACACCGTGGGGTTTCAACAACATCTTATAATTTTTCTGTCGATGAAATCATTGATATATGATCTACTACTTCCCACATAAGATCTATCGTATAATTGTACTTCCCTGGGAGGGGCTAGTTTCGCCATGTTGGTAGGTTGAATGGCCTGAGAAGCTCGGCGAGGTGAAAAGCGATGAGTTCCTGGCTGAGATATGGCGGGATATAGGCCGCTTTTACCGCACACGATTGGAGATATCCAAGTTCCATGCCAAGCTGAATGCTGACGAATGCGTAGAATATGAATTCCTGTTGAGAGGCTGGTGACTCTGTGTCGGGATCAGCTGGCGTTGTGGCGATGTAACGCTGAAGTGAAAGAGAACGATGAGGTTACTGAAGGTGTTCTTGGACTGCACTGGGAGTGTCTTGGTGATGACCTGGCGAGCCGGGCTGTCGAATGGGACTCCCAGCAGGGGTTTCCGGAGACCGTGTAAGTGATGGTAAAGGTAAGGAGCTATATCGTAATCATCAGGAGTGTGAATGATGGCGCATTACTCCTCGATGAGAGAAGTGCTGTTGCGGAACGTATTGTGGAAAATGGTGATGATGATAAGATGCTGACTATTCGGTTGGCTGAGGGACTTGTTGTCGAAACGGCGATGTAGGTAACCGTAGTGAATGGTTGTTCACGAGGGGAAGCATTGTTCAGAGCGAATCTGTGTGGCCGAATTTTCCGTATTTCGAGGAACATCATTCTGAGATCGTGTTTTCTCGTGACCATTTTGCGTATTTTTTCAGAGTGGGAAAATATGTTCATCATGTGTCGGTGACAATAAGAAAATTCTGAGGAAATTCTTATTGGTTTTTGTACACTTCTACCCAAATTTGTATAAAAAACTCCTATAATTAGTGGGGAAACTTCTGAGCTCAGCTGAGGAAAGCGAACATATATTCCTACTCCAACACCGTCAGATCCTTCCCGAGTATCCACAGCTCTATCGAGAAGGCCATGCAGGTCCATAATAAGGCATTCTTAGAGGCGCACGAAGGGGTTATGGATCATGAAAAGTGAGGAAAGCTCTTGATGAAACTTGGTCATCACGTATGTGGTAGGCATCTAACGTTCTGTGCTAAAGACTATGCAACAGCACGAGAGCTCTTTAAAATTGGGCAGTACTTCGACCAGCAGGCTCTCACTGTTTTCGTGTTGGAGGGATATGCCAGTGACCATGTGACCATAGCGTTGACCGATCGAGTCTGTGATATTGTTGCACGCAGATACAAACTGTTCAAGAGCTCGCTCGGCTACACGAGGCGTTGGAGTTCTGGGAGGTCGATCAGGGTAGAGTGAAAGCTCTACTTAAACGAAGAGTTAGGCTACTAGAGCCTATCTTGAAAGAGGTGACGTCTACTGGTGTTTTCATTGTACGGCTCATAACTCCTCAGATCAACCCGATGGTGTATGTCCAATTCGATCGCCAGCTTTCTTTTGAGATCGCTGAGATTTACAGGCGACTCGCTGAGGGCCTTCTTGAAAAGGATGAGGAGAATCGCGCAGTTGCAGCAGCCTCCAAGCCAGTAAGCGGTTGGTATTGCTAACCAAGATCGTTGATAAACTGCAAACTTTATCATGCTAATAGTACCGCCCCAGTGATGTTCGACTGCAGTAGATAAGATACCCAACTGGGAAAGGTTGCTTGTCGTCCTCTATGATAGTGGTGCCCTCATGAGCGCTATGAGAAATTGAGTGGGACTCTGTGAATGGCCGATGGCGCTTGCCTTGGTCATGGAGGTTAATTTTATGAGTATTCTGGCAAAATGTGGAGTACCTCAGCGTCAAGTCTTCACGTATGATCTACATAGGATTACATTGCACTGCCGAGTCTGTGGGTGATCCGTCTCGAAGATCCTAGTCGAACGTGTTATTCGAGCCCTTCCTAGTGTTACGGTTGATTCTGATGATAACAGTTGTTGGCAACAACTGCCCTGTTGGCTAAGGCCGATTGGGGAGCAATCCGCACCCTGCCCCCGGTTCTCTGGCACCGGATTGCACCCTGCCCTCTGGTCAGCGCTTACTGCCCCGTCAACTTAGCATCCAATAGAATCGGGGTTTAGCGAGATTTCAAGTGTGCGCAGGTTATGCGAAACTCATCGGTCGTGCTGCGCCACTCGCGCTGCGCGAGTGGCGCATTAGCTCGTCGAGTAACCGCACTTGTGTTTTCGAGTTTGTATACCATGGAAGCAACTCGGGTGAGTTAGACGATGAAGCCTGTAGCTCGCTTTGATTGGGTGAATGCCTTCGTCCCAACGCATCAAGAAAAGGAAGGAAAAGGAGATTATGTATTAGATTTATGTATTACGTATTATGATTATGTATTGAAATGTCGCGATCTCAAGTGCAGGAAGGGTGTGCTCGAGCAGAAGGACTCAGTCTAGATGTGCAGGCTGTCAGACGACACGAATCTGGTACGTCAAATGATGTCAAGCATGATTCGTGGGGCTACAAGTAGTGGGGCCGAACGAAGTTTTTCGGTCTTGACTCGCAAGCTCTCCACAAGCCGAAATCGGCTGGACAACGAGCACCTACAGAGCAACGTTATATCAAGTGCGAACAGGTCGCAGCTTCTCGAGCTCGTTTCGCCAGACCTGAAGGGTCTGGTTGAGGTAGCTAATGAATGGTTGGCCATGAAAGGCAGAAGAGAGAAGCTCTGCTCGATGCCTATTCGCGATCCAAGTTCTACTGCATGAAGGAATAGTAGCACTGTAGTCGATATCTCCAAGGGCTCAATGGCAATGGTTCACTGGAAGTGACTCACTGCTAGAGAGTCTAGGAAGTATCTACCTGATATGCATTTTGGTGTTATGTACCGTGATTCACGGGCTTAGCATATTATAATAACTGTTTCCCTCCGGAGTAGGTCTTGGGCCAAGACTCTTGGCAGTTGCGCTCATCAATTCTCGAAGACTCAAAACAAAATTTGTTATATTGTGTCTGCGCCGCTTGCTATCCGGGCCGGATGATCCGGCCCTGCGTGAATTAGCCTCCTGCCCTACTGCTCTCTGAACTTGTTGCGCGAACGCATGCTTCTCGGGGAGTATTCATACTTCTGTAGTTGAGTTCCTCGTCAGGCCCTCGACACTGACCAAGTGAGGAGATACATCCTGAAGTCAGTGAAGAACTTCACTCACTTTATCGACTCATTCTATCCGCCTGCCACTCGAGAAGGCACTGTGAGTGGCTCTCACCAGAGTGAGTCGATCTTGTAGACTTCGCAACATCCTGCTCTGACAGATGCTAAGGAGCGTTTGGATGATGCAGTGGTCCAACATGTGATATCAGCAAGAGAGCAGACCGCGAGGTGGGATGCAAATCGACTGAACTCGTATGAATTTATGAATTGCTGAATTTTGAATACAGAATTTGGGTCACTGACTTTGTTTAGGTTGCTGTCGAAGGATCCATCACCCAACGCATCTGAACGTCTAAGGAGTCTACTGGCTGCTCTTTCACACTATGAATGGGTTAAGGCTTATGCTAGTCATCATCAGCAACAAGTGGGCTCCATGGATTCCCCCTGTCTCATACAGTGTGAATCGATGGTTTAAACGAGCACTCTTCTTGATAAGAGAAGTGGCTGTGTGTTCAGATATTGAAGCTACCGGAGGAAAGCCAGGAAGCAATACGGTTGACGATCCAGATGGCTGGTCTCTTGCCGATTCAGATTGCGAGATTAAAGCGTCAATGCCTCACACATGTTCGTAGCACTTGAGTCTCTCTAGAGGTGGATCTTGTGTTGGGCTAGAGGTCTTGTTGTTGATTTTATTGCTCCTGCTAACTGTGATGTGCTATGCAATTAGTTTGTGCTCATGCGAAAAACGAGAGTTCTTAGGGAAGTAGTTGTCGCTTCCTTGTTGGTTTACGGTCCTCTAATACGCTCAACATGCACTTGTATATCGCGTTCATGTGGCGCAGCCTGCTGTTAATGTTCTCAATGACCACAGAATGAGGTAACAGCTGGCCTCGAGAGTTCAACGAGGTGTGAGGTTGGGAGGGGAGACTGCTTCCGAAGAGGCTTCTTTTAGAACCAATGACGAATGACACAAGCGCATGCATAATAAGCAGATAAGTAGTTTACAAGGCTTGTCAGCAAATCTCATTGAATCGAAGAGAAGCGAAGAAGCTACACTCACTTGGATAAGGAGCCCATGCAGGAGTACACCCCTCCACATATACTTAGCATATCCGGTTTTTCGACTCGTGCACAGCCACCACAACGAGTATCATCTTGCGGCTCAGGGAGGTATGTACTTATGCTTTACCTGATATGACCTCCAAGTTTCAGGGCCTAACTCTTCGTAGTTAGTGAGAAGTCGAAGACCTGAAAAAAACTTCTCCACATATTCTTAGCATACACGTGTTAAAATTGCGCCTCAAAATACCAACTTTTACTCGGGGAGTATATCTATAACTCCGCTACTGATCTAATGCTATACATCAACAGAAAGAGAATCGTTCATAATGGTATCCTTCCATGTTTCACTCTCATATTTGGAGGCACTAGCCTGCTAGGGCGTCTTGACCTCCGACGGCTCCCTGCATGGCGGGTTTTACACCTTATTTTGGCGCGTTTTGGTGCTCATCAGCTGCTCTGCTCAGTTTTGGCTAGATGCGTCCAAATATGAGAGTGAAACAGGGAGGGATACCATTATGAACGATCCTCTTGCTGTTGGTGTATAGCATTAGATCAGGAGCGGAGTTATAGATATACTCCCCGAGTAAAATTTGGTATTTTGAGGCGCAATTTTAACACGTGTATGCTAAGAATATGTGGAGAAAACGTTTTACCGGCCGTCGACTTCTCACTAACTACGAAGAGTTAGACCCTGAAACTTGGAGGTCATATCAGGTAAAGCATAAGTACATACCTCCCTGAGCCGCAAGATGATACTCGTTGTGGTGGCTGTGCACGAGTCGAAAAACCGGATATGACTAGAATATGTGGAGGGGTGTATTAGTGAAGTAGTGTCCTATCAACAGCGACTCTTCACCGCCATACAGTTGTGTGCTTTGCACTGCTTGGTGTTGTTCTTGCCAACAACAACAACAACAACAACAACAACAACAACAACAACAACAACGACAACAACAACAAAGCACCCTCTCCATCAACTTGTTGGAGAGGGTGCTTTTTTGATTTTTCTGATTTGTTATACCACACCAGGATCACTTTCCAATCAATGGCTCTCGGCTCTCCTCCAACAGAGATATGGCGTCGATTCACGTCCGCTGAGAACTTGAAAGTATTTGAGAAACTGCAAGATGGCATACAGAGCTCCTTCCCCTCATCCTCTTCCCCGACTTACACCAAGGCGCTTGAGGCCTTTTGGAAGTACTCACTGATGTGCTTCAGCGTACCAAGACCAAGTGAGTCTAGAGCAGCTCTATCTCAGGAAGCATCAGTGACTGTTACAGGTACAGATTTTGATGGCACGGTGAAGTTCTCCCGTTTGGATCCTATCCGCAACTGCCTTGCCGCAGTAGCAGAGGCTAACGGATGGGTTTGCAACATGGACAGGGCTGGGAATGTGAGTTGGTTGTTTTGACCGGCCCCTCACTGCAGTGTGGTGGGAATATATGAATATGGTCAAATACATGTGTTAGTGAAAAATATGAAAACTATGAGGAAACATTGGGAAGTTATCGTTGGTATGTGTACACTCCTACTCGAAATCGTTTGTGGATAAACTTACGAGCTCAGTTGAGGACAGCAAACGTATATTCCTATATTAGTTTACTATTACTATCGCGTACAGGTATATCTCCGCTCTAGCAGCTCGGAGTTACCAGCAGTGGTGGTGTTGCAAGGCCATATGGATATAGTCTGCAGTCAGTGAGTGGGAGAGTTCTGACTGGGCTTTCCTAAGGAGCGCTCGAATGGTTGTCCCGAGGGATGCTTCTGTCTGTGGGAAAATATACATATGTTTAACTACGTGTGCTGGTGAGAATATGAAAATTGTGAGGAAATTTTCATTGGCTCCTGAAGACTTTTACCCGAATCTGATCAAGGTGAGGAGACCGAACATATATTCCTCACACTGGTATGTACAGTGCGGCGTCGTCTGTCCTGTTGCTGTATTGAATGTTCTGTGGTGAAGGCCTTGGGTGTGCTCGAGCCTCAACTTAGAGGTGACCTTTATAGGAACGCCTCGGCCCAGCATGACTTTGAGAAGGATCCGATCAATGTGAAGGTGTCGGCGGACGGGCTGTGGGTGAAAGCTATCAAAGAGACTACATTAGGTGCGAGTTCGTAGGCCTTTGAGTTGATTGCTCCTTATAGGAGCTGATAATGGTGTGGGAATTGCTGGGGCGCTGGCGGCTCTCACTGCTATGCCTCGGGAGCCTCCTATAGAGGTTATTCTCACTGCCAACGAGGAAACTAATTTTGAAGGGGCTGAAGGGGCTGAGGAGAAGGTAGAGGCTGAGGCATCCTTCGTTGTTATCACCTGCAGTGTTCAGTTGGTGACTGCTGGTCGCATGCTGAACCTTGACTCGGAGGAAAGCGGGGAGATATGCATCGGAAGTGCTGGTGGCTTTGAACACAAGTGAGCCCGTCTATGGAGATAAACTAGAATGAGTATATGAACTGCAATTGCGTTTCCTAATGCAAATGTGTAAAACCAAATACTCAGTCTACGTTCAGCATGTTTGAAAATCTGATGAACATTCGCCGACTCCGCAGAAAAATCAAGTCTCCACGCATTCCCATAAGATAAAACGGACGTACAGTAGATTGTATATCAAGTTATTGAGAATAGTGCAACGCCGATTTTTACTCGATCTATAGTCTATATACAACTACTCATCTATTCGAGTCTATATAGAAGATTCGCCAAGATCTCAGATTCTGGCTGCCTCTTGATCGGTCCCCAGCCCCTGAAGGGTCGATGCGGCGCTACCGAGTGGCCCTGAAGGGTTTTGCCGGGGGCCACTCGGGCATCGATATCGCTGAGGACCGCCCCAACTGCATCAAAGTCCTCAAGAGGTAACAAATCGCCGTATAAGGAAGTTGATCGTTCCTCAGTTTATTGGGTGGGGTGGTATCACCCTCTGTGCTGGTGGCTGACGTGCACGGTGGGACGGGTCCTAATGCGATCCCACGTGAAGCAGCTGCAGAGGTCGTCACTACACCAGAGCCTTGGGCTGGCGTGGCGAAGAGGATTACGGAGCATTTCGAGGTTCAGACGATGGTGTGGTATGAAATGTTATCTGGTTCTGTGCTGCAGGAAATGCTCAGAGACTATCCTACGGAAACTGCGGCCGTACTTGAGCTGGTTGAATGCCCATCGGCCGCTGTAGCAGAAGTAACAGAGCTCAGCGTCATGGGAAATATCTTTGAGTGCACTGCAGGATCCATTGACCGCTGAATCGACTGAAAAACTGTTAAGTCTGATAGAGAAAGTTCAGCATGGTGTTCTCGAGCTGGAGGAGGACCCCGAGGCCGGGTTGAAGTGATTGAACCATAAGTGTTGATGGAAGGTGAACTTTCCGTCAGGACCAGCTGCAATCTTGGCGTAGTCCGCACTATGAAGAGGAACGGCGAGGACGGTGCTTTGGTACATATCTTCCCAAGGTCAACTTCAATGGAATCGATGAAACGCCTCGGTAAGCTAAGTTGGTGTTCTTGGTTGGATAGGAATTGATTGTGATGTGATTTTAGGTGAAGAATTTGCTATGCTTGGGGACAAATTCGGGGCGTTTAATGAGGGTAACATCTGTCCGTTCCCGGGGTGGGAGCCTGATAGGAGCTCAGAGCTGTTGAAGGTGCCGGGGGGGTTGGAGTAACGCTGTGAAGAATTATGTCATCGATTAAGTCAACCATCGGTGATGGTATCAATTCGTAGTTATCACTGTAGGTGGTGCAGTAATTCTAGGTTACAAGTATTATCACTCCCCACTGTTTGATCTATTGACTGATACTGTCTAAATTTGTCGGGCGTTTGATCTCTTAAAAAATCCCCCCCCCCTTAAGAGACCTGTTGTTAATGCAGGTGGTCACCAGTATGTGTCCGGCGACATCCACTCCTCGTATATATACCATACATGCTGGCTTGGAGTGCGGTACGCTCATGTCGCGTCTATCGTCTGTGAAGGAGTGTGTGAGCATCGGCCCTACTGTAAAGGTAGGGACCTGCTACCTTAATGTCAACATAACCTGCTGTTTTCAGGGTGCCCACTCCCCCGATGAGAGGCTTGAGATAGCGAGCTGTGCCCCCTTTATCAAGTGGCTTTGTGACGTCATCAGTGTATTACAAGCTCAATCACTATCACCTTAACACGATGGCAGTCCGCCGTCTCAAAAGAGTATTTTCTGAGGAATATTAGCTTCTAGTCTGAGTTGTTCTGGTGAATTGATCGACTCACTATATAAGAGGTGCACGGCGTCAAGTTCTGCCGCCAATTTCGTGTTCTTTGACGAAATGTGGTATTACCGATGAAATTGGGTTGTCTCCAATGACAACTTCTGCCCTCAAGCTTTAGCCTAATGGCTAACCAAAGCGTTCACTCGTTCACCACCAGCCAAAAAGCATCGAGGCTGCTGTCATCATGGATGAAACGCACAATCACAGGCACTCTGGACGAAGATCTGAGTCCTGTTGAAGTACGTCTACCATCTTCTCGCGAACTGCTATGAAATTCACACAAGTGAAATTCTTTGCTGCGTTACTCTTAATCGGCTTGAGAGTCCCCCACTGATTGCGGCTATCGTCAGGTGACAGAACGTTTTTTGAGCTGTGACAACCACGCAGGCTACTTCAGTGGCGGGGGCTCTCCTAACGACGCGAATTATATCGAAACTATATGCCAGGCAACTTACAGAGATCAAGCTACCCGTAAAGGGATAATGCAAGTGATACTTGTTCACGCATGTCTCTCATCTTGGCCTTTTCCGCTGATATCAACGGTTGAACTGATATTATCAACCTAGCTGAGACTAACTCAGTGACGGTCCAGACTACTGCCATTACTCTATTCGCATCCGCATGGGCTTTTACAACAGCATCACATTTGATTATTAGTTGAACCCGGTTGGATAATCCCTAAGTCTCGCAGTTACTAGCCTTCGCTGTTACACCGTCAGCCGCTTCCTGGCGTTATGTGCTAGCGGGTCTTGAGCTGCTCGAGCATTTACTCAAGGATGGCAGTATTGAACTATGGCGAGAGTGTGCACGTGGGGAACATTTCGATGCTAGTCAGCGGCTCCTGGTACGACCGATAATACTTTGAACGTGAGAGACCCTCTCGACAGAGATATTCGAGAATGTGAAAGCCCTACGAATTCGATAATCCCACGGGAAACCGGTTACACGTTGCTGATGAGCATCCACGGTGCATCACCAGAGGCAAATTCATGATGGTCTCTCAGTTCCTGAGCACGTATTCCGATCCTGAAGATCCTCGAGTCACGAAACTCATCAGAAACAAGGCGCGTGTGTTGAGGAAAAGTCTAATGACCAAGAACGAACGGGTCGAGGCTTTACGAACAACAGCCATGGATGAGGAGGCGATTGACGAGTATTCAAGCTCATCTCGAGGTTGGTAAGCAGCTTACACTCTCAGAAGCTCAGAATCACCAAGCAGCTCAGACAGCGATGAATCGTCGAAGAATGCCGGGCCTAGGAAATCCGCAAGAGCATGGAATAACCCCAGTACGCCAACTAGCACGTTGCTCACATTGGGGCAAGCGCGATGAGCCAGAAAATGATGGTATGATATTGGAATTCAATAGGAAAGATAATTCACTACGACATCATGGGGCTCGTCGGAGTCGTAGCAGCTGATAGGCGACATGTAACTGCTGTATGCCTTCAGGTGTGATCAGCGGCTTTGCAGTTGTTGGTCATAATCCGGATACTAGTGATAGTGAGACTGAGCAAAGTGCCTCGTCGAGCATCAATAACAGCACTCTATGTGCAACTGGCGAGTGAGCAACACCCCCATCGGGTTAGAGAGGCCATGACGTTCCGCAGTAGGACACCAACTACGAATTCTCGCGAGCATCGAAGGAAGCTAGGCCGAAGTCGCCACTATTCAGCAGAGGATTGCGCTAACACAACATCACATGTGTCAAGCAGAGATGCCCCGAGGTCCAACAGTGCCCCAACGGTAGACTTACTCTGAATGGAATAAGGTGTAGACGTGGCATGAGTTTCATACTTACTGTTGCGTTGGCTCACCGCAACGATACACTGGCGCGAACAGTACGAGCCGTGTGACTATTCATACATCAAAAACACGATCAGAGTCTGCGCTTTGCCGACGTCGTACTAAACCTTATGGAGCGGTCGATGAATCTTCAGCGCTCTATTGAGAGGTGAGTTCTGGCGGATTGTCTACGCTAGGCTTGCCATCGCTCACCGTTGAGAGTTCGCTTCAAATGACGAACTCCGCAGACCCAGATTTCGTTGGTCTTGATATTCCCGAGTAATTCAATACGTCGAAGGATTCCAGACGGTCACTGGATACCTCTCCTTCTCAACATCAATGATTGGTGATCGATCCCAGTAGCTTCTGAATAGCACGAGTCACATTGAGAATTGCGATACCGAGGAGTCCTTCTTGCGACTATAGACTCTGACACTCTCCTTGTATTTTCAACAGCGAGAGGAATGAGTGAAGTCTCAGGAGTCGATACCATGCTCATGATGGTCCTCGAGGCAACGTTGGTGCCAGTTGTTGCGACTCCACACATGATATTGGCATCAACACCGAGAAGGTTCTCACGCTAGCGACAAATATATTCTCTTGTACTGTACGCTTTAGAACGAATCCTTCCTACACAATACCTCTCCCAAGAGTGTCCGGGTCACAATCGTCTTCTTTCCTCAGAGTGTCATATCAATAGACAATGTGATGTGCTAGGCATCCTTCATGTCTCTCTTACGACGCAACGCTAGAGTGACATTAGCGTTGCCACTCGTTAGTGTGGATCGTTCAATAGTTCTGTTAATGTATATTGTCAGTGTTTCAAAGTTATCTTATGCGTTCCTTCATCGTCTCATTCTCGGCCTTCGTCGCTGCCCTCTCCCTCGTCATGGCCACTGAGGACCCGTGCTCTCAGATGTGCTCCAATGTGAGTGGCTGTGGAGGTTCGAAATATGGATCTTATTGCAAGTCCTGGGTAACTCCTTCCGTCTGCTTCGGCTTGATCAAGAAGAGTGACGGTTCTATTTGTTTCGAGCCCACTGATTCCAACTGTGTTGATGAGCCTCTGGCCTGCAGTATCCAACCAACAATCGCGCCTGCTACTACAACTCAGCATACTACTATTCATAGGAGCACGACTACGACCACTACCGCTGCCACTGCTACGACCACTACCGCCGCTGTTGAGACTACCACAAGTGCTTCAACGAGACGACAGAGCCTGTGACTACTGCGACAGTTGAGACGACTACTACTGAAGCCACGACTACGATCAAAGTAACCACAACTACCCAGGCGGTGGGTCTCAATGGTAATTACTGCGGTAACTTGTACGGTCAAGACTTCAGCGTTGACTTTGAATCTGGACGCGCCACTCTGAGTGTTCTCGGCCAGACTGCCGGATGCGACTATCAAGTAGATGGTACTGATATCATCTTTTCCAACTACGATGATGTTCTCCAGAAGTTGATGGATATGTTCCACATAAAGAAGATCCAGGGTACGATTGTGAGTCCGACTGAAATTCACATCAAAGCTGGTCTACTGATCAATACTACCCTTACTCAGTGCTAGATGACATTGTCGTTTTGAACGGGTACTTCGCTCGCTGATGCCTGTGAAGCATCTGATGGAGTTTTTCCCTATCGTTTGGTGTTTGTTGTTTGTCCTCGAGTTCTTTCTGACGAGTCGTGAGTTGTTGTGTAGATGTCGTCATCTGTTTGGGAGGTATTCAATGCGGTGATTGACGTAAGGGGTGCATCATTAAGTTGTTGCACTATATATCTATTATCGATCATCTGTACCTTCTGCAAACCCTCCGATTAGAAATCCTATTGTAGATGAAACTTTTACGTTATTAGAGTGTATGATATTTTTAGTCTCAGACTTTGACATTCAGTCCATCAGCTCGCTTCAGCATTCACAAGTGACGCTGACGTACACTCGTTAACTTCGGTAACAACGTAGTGGAAAACTTAGAATTCGAAACGAGTCGAAACCAGTTTTTCGGGACAGAGTTATCGGAGTCATCAATTAAAATGGCGTTTCTGAGAATTGTGGAGTATTTCTCCTAGCGATATCACTTAAGGAGATCGCGGAGTTACGTTATTCGTTTCTACTTTAACAGTATATAATCTCTGGCTTCGCAGTTGTTGGTCATAACCCGGATACTAGTGATAGTGAGAATGAGCAAGCTGTCTCGTCGAGCATCATAAACAGCACTCTATGTGCAACTGGCGAGTGAGCAACACCCTCATCTTGAAAAGAGCCTAATTCTATCCATACCGCTGTGCAACAGAACACCAACTACAAACTCTCACGAGCATCGAAGGAAGCTAAGCCCAAGTCGCCGCTATCCAGCAGGGGATTGCGATACCACGACATCACTTTTGTCAGACAGAGATGCCCCAAGGTCCAACAGTGCCCCAACGGTAGACTTACTCTGAATGGAATAAGGTGTAGACGTGGCATGAGTTTCATACTTACTGTTGCGTTGGCTCGCCGCAACGATACACTGGCGCGAACAGTACGAGCCGTGTGACTATTCATACATCAAAAGCTTGATCAGAGTCTGCGCTTTGTCGACGTCGTACTAAACCTTATGAAGCGGTCGATAAATCTTCAGCGCTCTATTGAGAGGTGAATTCTGGCGGATTGTCTATGCTAGGCTTGCCATCGCTCACCGTTGAGAGTTCGCTTCGAAGGACGAACTCCGCAGACCCAGAATTCGTTGATCTTGATACTCCCGAGTAATTCAATACGTCGAAGAATGCCAGACGGTCACTGGATACCTCTCCTTCTCAACATCAATGATTGGTGATCGATCCCAGTAGCTTCTGAATAGCACGAGTCACATTGAGAATTGCGATACCGAGGAGTCCTTCTTGCGACTATAGACTCTGACACTCTCCTTCTATTTTCAACAGCGAGAGGAACAAGTGAAGTCTCAGGGGTCGACACCATGCTCATGATGGTCCTCGAGGCAACGTTGGTGCCAGTTGTTGCGACTCCACGCATGATATTGGCATCAACACCGAGAAGGCTCTCACGCTAGCGGTGGATATATTCTCTTGTACTATACGCTTTAGAACGAATCCTTCCTACACAATACCTCTCCCAAGATTGTCCGGGTCACAATCGTCTTCTTTCCTCAGAGTGTCATATCAATAGACAATGTGATGTGCTAGGCATCCTTCATGTCTCTCTTACGACGCAACGCTAGAGTGACATTAGCGTTGCGACTCGTTAGTGTGGATCATTCAATAGTTCTGTTGATGTATTCCTATTGTCAGTGTTTCAAAGTTGTCTTATGCGTTCCTTCATCGTCTCATTCTCGGCCTTCGTCGCTGCCCTCTCCCTCGTCATGGCCACTGAGGACCCGTGCTCTCAGATGTGCTCCAATGTGAGTGGCTGTGCAGGCTCGAAATACGGATCTTATTGCAAGTCCTGGGTAACTCCTTCCGTCTGCTTCGGCTTGATCAAGAAGAGTGACGGTTCTATTTGTTTCGAGCCCGCTGATTCCAACTGTGTTGGGGAGCCCCTGGCCTGCAGTATCCAACCAACAATCGTGCCTGCTACTACAACTCAGCATCCTACCACTGCTCATAGGAGCACGACTACGACCACTACCGCTGCTGCTGCTACGACCACTACCGTTGCTGCTGCTACGACCACTACCGCTGCTGCTGCTACGACCACTACCACTACCGCTGCTGCTGCTACGACCACTACCGCTGCCGCTGCTACGACCACTACCGCTGCTGCTGCTATGACCACTACCGCTGCCGCTGCTACGACCACTACGGCTGCTGCTGCTATGACCACTACCGCTGCCGCTGCTACGACCACTACCGCTGCTGCTGCTACGACCACTACCGCTGCTGCTGCTACGACCACTACCGCCGCTGTTGAGACTGCTACAACTGCTTCAACCACTACAGAGCCTGTGACTACTACGACAGTTGAGACGACTACTACTGAAGCCACGACTACGATTAAAGTAACCACAACTACCCAGACGGTGGGTCTCAATGGTAATTACTGCGGTAACTTGTACGGTCAAGACTTCAGCGTTGACTTTGAATCTGGACGCGCCACTCTGAGTGTTCTCGGCCAGACTGCCGGATGCGACTATCAAGTAGATGGTACTGATATCATCTTCTCCAACTACGATGATGTTCTCCAGAAGTTGATGGATATGTTCCACATAAAGAAGATCCAGGGTACGATTGAGAGTCCGACTGAAATTCACATCAAGGCTGGTCTACTGATCAATACTACCCTTACTCAGTGCTAGATGACACTGTCGTTTTGAACGGGTACTTCGCTCGCTGATGCCTGTGAAGCATCTGATGGAGTTTTTCCCTATCGTTTGGTGTTTGTTGTTTGTCCTCGAGTTCTTTCTGACGAGTCGTGAGTTGTTGCGTAGATGTCGTCATCTGTTTGGGAGGTATTCAATGCGGTGATTGACGTAAGGGGTGCATCATTAAGTTGTTGCACTATATATCTATTATCGATCATCTATACCTTCTGCAAACGCTCCGATTAGAAATCCTATTGTAGATGAAACTGTTACGTTATTAGAGTGTATAATATTTTTAGTCTCAGACTTTGACATTCAGTCCATCAGCTCGCTTCAGCATAAGCAAGTGACGCTGACGTACACTCGTTATCTTCGGTAACAACGTAGTGGAAAACTTAGAATTCGAAACGAGTCGAAACCAGT